ATTATATATGCTTGTGAAAGGTTGAATTTAATGATATTTGGTACAACATTTGTTTATGCATTGATACAGGAACTGTCTTCCAATAAAATATACTTGATTATGAATAATATCTTTGAAACATTTATTCTTGTACTTATTTTTATGGATTACCTTTCATGACTTTTTTTTTTTGCTTAGTATCATATCTTCTTAGAGTAGTGCTGCACTTCCAAACTTAATCCAGGCATAAGATAAGATCTTCTTTTTCTTTCTCTCAAAATTGATTATAAGGTTCCAATCTTTTTTATTTAGCCTTATAAGTTTTGAACATGTAAAATGGGAATCAAGAAAAGCTCATTATATTTTCTTGCAGTGTATAGCATTACTCAATTTATTGTCACATTAGTGAATACAATGTCAGCATTCCATGATATTCCTAAGCTTTTTGTTCGTCTACTCTTGAATTTTGTTGAGCAATCTTTAAGCATATTTGCAGATAGAAATCTTTTTTTCCTTAGGAGAGTGATAAAGGAATTTGATTTCAGGGCATGATGAGTGTTCTATTACACAATCCTCAAAATTTATTACTTCGTGGTCAAGACAATTTCTCAAAAACCAGACTGACTAAGGGGCTGGGTTTGGGATATTCAGGTTTAGCATTTCGATCTAGGGGAGCATTGTCTGCTCAAACCCAACTGTCCATCAAGTTGCATGGAAGAAATCCACTAGAACAGCTGGTTTCTGTTCGTGTAGCTCCTGATAATGCAGAAGGCAACAGCTCAGATGATGAAAGCACAGACAATGAGGAAAATGCCCTGAATAATAGTCAGGATATATCAGGTGGTTTATCACGTGAGGACTTGGAAAGGATTGTTGGAAAAGATGAAGCCACATTTAGTGGAGTAGATCTTGCAAGACTTATAAGGAATAAATATGGAAGATCTTATGATGTTCAACTTATAAAGAAGGTAATTTTTAGTCCTGCAGTTTATTTCCTTGTATCTGTACTGTCCTACTAATGATCAAATTTATTCTTATTTCAATTTATAATCAAACAACTAGTTTTGATAATGTGAAAATAAATTCCAACTTAGTTATACATCTGTCCAAAAAAAAAAAATGTAGCCATCTTTAAAAAATATATAATTAAATAAAAGGAAAAACAGTGTAGTTGCTTCTACTTTTTGTTCAAATAGCTGCATGATTCAGTCATTGATAGTGCCATGATTTTCTTTTTGGTAAAATAGTCATATGATTGAATCATTGATAAAGCACATATTGACATTAAGGCTGCTCATTATTAGATGGAACTTGTAAAACCACCATTTGCAATGTTATATTTTTGTTATTCTCACTAGAAGGTTAGTTGGAATAGGATGTAAGATGGGTCTTGCTACAACTTCTTATGACTTTACAATTATGTAATTGTTGAATCCTGATCTGTGCATTTACCATAAGGAAAGAACTATGAAGGAGAGAAAGAACGAGTCAAAGAGAGGGGTATTAGTGTATTCTTTAGGGAAAAATGTAGAGATATAATATCCAAGATTTTTTAATCGTCCTTTGCTATATAGATTTCCTATTTATAGAGGATTTTTTATATAATATATGTTACACATATTTTTGGGAATCTCTGACTTATCTTCTTTTTTCTTCTTCTGACCTTGACATAGTTAATATTATCTTTGACTCATTATTCTCGGATAGCGTCACTTCGTCATCCTTACCTCATGCGTTAGTAGGGTCATATCTTTGTCAGTCGGCTAGGCTTCTAAGTTAGTTTGTTGCTTAAACAATTTTGTTCTTGAGATTGAATTGTGTCCTATTGGATTAAACTGATCCCACTGACGATGGAGCTACTTGGTTTGGCTCTTCGAATGGGTTAGTTGAGTGTGATAGATGGATGGGTGATGCTGACTTGTTGGCTCGTACTTGGCCTTAGTTGGATTGTTGAGCTTAGGGATATGGGGTCTAACTTAGTACATCGTCCGGGTCTTGGTCCTGGGTTTGGTAATATTGCATTTGACTATACATTTTTAGTTCATCTCTTATCTCTTGGAAGACGGAGTTGCAGAAAGAATAAGAGAATTGAAATAATAACAAATTTGAAGGCAATTTATTAATGTGCAAATATTATCTAATTGCATTGCTAACGTGTGAACAACTTGAAGTTTGAGTTCTTTGTTGCTTATAAATGGGGTGATATAATGCCAGTTGATTCACAACTCCATTTGCTAGCATTTCTTACGTCTATATCCGCTTGTGTCTCGCTCCCTTAACTGATTCAAATGAATAATATTTTGTGAAAATTTGCATTTGCCTTAATATATCAAAAAAGTACAAAAGTTATGCATGTATGCATCTAGTGTAAAAAAAAAAAAGAACTGTCTTCTACAAGTATGGTAGGGAGATCCTTATGGTCATCTACATGCATCAAAACAAATGACTCACTAAGGCGCGCTTGACACAAAAATGAGCGGCCCTATTACAATATTTAGATGTATGGAAAAAAAGAACTTGTTTAAAAGACAAAAGAAAAGTAAAATCCGGTGTCTCCTGTGGTCGTTTGCACGAAATATTCCGTTTCATAGTAGTCCTCAAAAAATGTATGATATTAGTGTTATCTCCTTTAATGATGATGCTCTTGCATTCGACCATCCATGGTTGGCAAATGTTTTGAAAGGATATGACGGCCTGAAGTTCAACTTGGGCGACTATCCTAATGCTAAAAAATGTGTCTAGTAGCAATGAGTTGAACTCCTCTCTAGTCCCGAACAATAAATCTTGTGTCGGCCTCTTTGGAAAGGAGTGCACCATCAATGTTCGCTCTGAGCCATCTGAGAGGGGGAGAATGCCAGAAAAGGGTAGAGGAAACCGATCCGGTGGGTCGGCTAGCATCCCATTGCTCTCGAAATGGAAAAAGTCGTGTCATTTTAAGTGCCTTGAGAATGGTTGTTGCAATAATAGTCAGTGTACCATGTGCACGATAGTGAATCTTAGCGTTGCAAGCCCTCCAAGAGTGATGGATAATGTAGCAATGGCATTTGGCCTGTGGAATTCCGCTCATTGGTGTTGTGCTTAGCTTGTTTATGACTTCGCTGAAATTTCTAAAAGTTGGGACAGTATTGTCGCAGTTCGCCATCATCTCCTTAATCCTGCACAAAAAAAAGCACAAAAAAAAAAAAAAATACAATTAGTAATAATATAGTCTCTGGTTTCAGGTTCGCCGCAGCCCCATGGGCACTCCAAAATATTCGTGGGCACTCTAGAATATTCGTGTTGGAAATGTGGGCGAGTTGAACCTAAATGTGGCAATAGTTCACCTGGAGGAAAAAAATTATTCAGTTGGGAAGTTTGGTGGGTCCTCTTATAGAGATTGTTCTTCATCTGTTTGTCGTCGTTGAAACAATCGAACTTAAACAACAATTGGCTGAACAAAGTTGTGAAGTTGCCGGCTTAAAGAAATCTTCAGGTGAACTGAAACATAAGTTCGTCGAATTGAGCTATAAGTGCACAGTGCAAATCCATTTGTCTTCTTCAGTTCAAGTACGGTGGATAGTTCGTGCTGATAGTTTATGCTAAAGTGGCTTCTACTGTCTAGCCAGGTTTTTGCGAAGATTGCCTTGGGCTTGTGTTTTGAATTTTTCTTTTTGTTGTTGTAATAAGTTAGGTGTGTTTGTGTGTTTAATATAATTTCTGTGTTTTGAGGGAATAGTTGCATATGTCTAGTTGTAATAATAAAATAATTTTTTTTTATAACTAACAAAATTTGTTTTGACGTCTCAGTTAGATGAAAATTTGATGACTTTAATTACTCTGATAGTTGTGATGCCATTTTTTAAATTTGTTGCCTTTTTTTTTCTTGTTGTTCCCTCGTAATAATTACTTTCATATTTATAAAAGGGGTGTTTATAGTTATGTTTGAACTTCGTTAGCCATTCTCAAACCCTTATTTTTTCTTGTTATTCCCTCATAATATTTACTTCATCTCGGTCTCCCTTATTCCAAAATGAGATGACTGCCATTCTGTATATTGGTTACAAAGTGCTCACAAAGGTTGAATTGCTGATTTGTTGGGTCAAACTCTGTTATGGTTCTTATTGCTGGTAACCTCTCTGTTGCTAGGTTTTGCTTGCTGTGTAACTCCTCTTCTTGGTTGTGACCTGATCTATGCTCACAATACTTTAAAATAATGTTGAATCATGATTTGTCCATGGACTCACACCTCAAAAAAGGAATAAAGAAGTAGTGAGTTACATGAGTGAGCTGAAGAGAGGGAGAAAAGTGTATGCAACAAGGAATAAAGTAGAGACATAGTGCTCAAGAATGAATTGACTATCTCTTATTACAAAGATCCCTCTCTAGTTATAGCGGTTTCTTTTTTATAATATAAGCATGTGATTAGTACATATAGATCTCTTAAGTTCTCTGACTTATCTCTTGTTTTCTTCTTCCAACATTGACACAGTTAATATTATCTCTGTCGTGTTATTATCTGACAGTGTCATATTTTATCATCTATTTCTCATGCATTCGTAGGGTCACATCTTTGACAACTTGCTTCTAACATTCCTTAGGAGTAAATTGTGTTCCTTTTTATTAAATTGATCTCAAAGACCATGGAGTTGGTTGGGTTGTCGAGTTTAACAAATGAGTTGAGTGTTGTAGATTGACATGTGTTCACTCGACGGCTCGTATTCAGCCTTATTTGGATAATTGAGTTGAGTGATTAAAGGGTCTATCCTAGTGCTTCTTTCGGGTCTTAGTTCTAAGTTTGGTAAGACCACATTTGGCTATAAAATAATCATACAATTGTCTCTTTAAATTTGATAAGATTTTCACAACCTGGCCTAGGAGCTTGAAATTTTGAAGGCGAAATACCCATTTGGATTGTAAAAATAAACTTATTTGCTATCTCTAAATCTAGCCGCAATGAAAGAGCTATAAATTTTCAAAATCAAAGTCAATGGTAATATAAAAGGCCTTGCTTTATGGTTGTTTCGTCCACGATATACATTTTTCTTCTTTCACTCATTTTTAGAGAAAGTCGTCTTAGATGGTTTGGTCACATTAAACGTCGACCATCTGATGATCCGATTAGGAGAGTAGATGTTTTAGATTCCACTTGTGTTAGGAAAGACAGAGGTAGACCTAGGAAGACTTGGGCTTATTGTATAAAATATGATCTTAATTTACTAGAACTAAATGAAAATATGACACAAAATAAGACAATGGAGAAAAAGGATTCATGCAGCCAACCCCACGTAATTGGATTAAGGCTTTGTTGTTGTTGTTGTTGTACTCATTTTTATCTAAATTATTAAATGCAATATACTAAGTTTTTAAAATGAACCCATTAGAATAAGTATAATTCTAAATCATAATACTTAAGAAATAAGAGCATCATTTATGCTGGCTAGTAATTTAAGTTATGTAATGAATCATATCATGTACTAAATTTATAAATGACAACACAGTATGATGTTGTAAACACATTTTTTTTTCATTTATATTTTCAAGAAACATAACATTTCATATTCATGTTTCTTATCTTTTTTTATATAAATACATTTATCACATGAACATTGTCTAAATATAATTTCGCGTGCTCTAAGTTGATACCCACCCTATTAGTATGGCAGGGTGTAGAACTAGTTTATTATTGTTTGAAGTGGATAGACACTCATCTTTGGCTGGGAAAACAGAGTTTTATTTTAATTCCACTATTGTTTGAGACATTATGAAAAATATATTTGGGTGCGGGTGTATTGGCATTACCAACTAGTACTATAAGGAGTGAATTTCGTTTATTATCACACATGCAAGTATTCATATATATTACTATTTTTGTATAATTTTCATAATATATATTTTTATGAGTTGTTTTATGTTTTTTTACTAATGACTAAATATTCTTCTATACAAATTTAAAAATCATATTGTAATCATTTAATGTCTTCTCGAGACA